AGCAGCCCACAGTGAGGAGCAGGGAGGCAGACACAGTGGGATGAGAGGGGATGCTCACAGGAGGGGTTGCAGTGCTGAGGCTGCAACTCTCCATGCATTGCTCACCGCACACTGCCTGAGGTGTGGTGCTGCTGGGGGCCGGTGGGGTCACTGAAAGGAGGAGGCTGAAACTCCCACTGACATGATTCAGCGCTGCTGAGAAAGCAAAATAAGCCCAACACAACTTCATCTTCTGTAGCAAAGGGAACTTTGGGCCTTTACAGTCCTTCTGAAGATGAGAATAAAGACAATGCTTTCAAGGGGAGAAATGTTTCATCCAAGACCTGAGGGACAGAGAGCCTTTCTCAGACCTCAGGCTGTAATTAATCTTGCCACAGTCAGCTCTGGAGCTCTCAAGCTTTTCCCAAGAAGAAAGAAATGGAGAGAAGGAGAGTGCTTGCTAAGAGTGATGGGCAAGCTCCAGTGCTGGTGATGGATATGTGGTACTGAGGATGCACAATGCATTGAGTCCCCCCATGGAAGTACCATCATGGGGTGCCCCTCGGGTCCTCTCCTGCTGGCACCATGGGGACATTGCAGACTGGTAGTGTGGACTGTGGTCTGCATCCAGAGGACAAAGCAAACTTGCTGCTTGGCATCGCTCAGCAAGTGCAGTGGAAGTGCACATGGCACAATGTGATCTGAACTAGGAAATGCATTTATTGTAGAAGCACAGAACTGTTTGGCCACCTGGTGCCACTCCATGCAATGCACAGGGACGCCCACAGCTCCATCAGTGCTCAGAGCCCATCCCCTGCCCTGGGCTGTCTGCAGGGACCACCCCCACCTCTCTGGGCAGACAGTGCAGTGCCTCACTGCCCCCACTGCAACACATTTCATCCTTACACCCAGTCTAAACCTCCCCTCTTTTAGTCTGAAACCATTTCCCCTTCTCTTTCACAACAGCTCCTGCTCAACAGTCCATCCCTTTCTTTCTTACAGCCCCTCAGATACCGACAGGCCGTACTCAGCCCTCCCACAGCCATCCCTTCCCCAGCTGCACAGCCCCAACTCTCAGCCTGTCCCCATAGGAGGTTTTCATCCCTTGGGTCATTTCTGTGGCCCTCCTCTGGACGCATTCCATCAGATCCACATGTCTCTGTGCTGAGGACTCCACATCTGGATGTAGTGCTCCTGGTGAGGTCTCACAGTGCAGAGGTGAGGTTTGCAGAACATGCTTGGAAGAAGTGAATTTGTTAGTAGATAGAGTGTGTGCATGGCTCAAGAGAAGACTATTTCCATTGATCTTCAGGTGTGTATTTGGCCTATAAACAATGTGACCTTCCCCCCAGACATCATTCCCATTCCCTCCTGCATACAGGAACTACTCAGGACCCTCTTATGCAGCTCGAGCAGCACAGCCCCCTGGCTGTCCCCACGCGAGAGCTTGGCATCCTTGAGAGTATTTGCTATGGAAAATCTCAGCAACAAGGGCTCAGCCATTTCTCTATGTAGAGCTAACACTAATATTTTGTAAATGTGTACTCACACGAATTTCACTCTTTGCTATGAAAATAGCAATCTCGCCTTTTGATGCCATGCTCTTTGGCAGTAAAAAATCCCTCATGAGTAGTGCCAAAACATTCTTAACCTATGGAGAAAGGCCGTAACTTTTTATTGCCACAATGATGGACACTATAACTCCGCTGTAAAACCTTTCACAAGTCTCACAGCACCTCTCTTGCAGCATTAAAAATGCATTAAACAGCACTGTTGCCACTGCACAGACAGGGCACAGCCCTTTGGCATTTCCTGTGGGATGAGCAATGCTTGGATCAGCAGGGAAGAAATGCTCCAACGCCATTCTTGCTACTATGTGTCCTCAGAATGACAGCATTATATCCCCAGGTACATCCTCTGCTGCCTGAGGGGCATCCTGCAGAGCACACATCCTCCCACCACCAGGTCCCCCCATATGGCAGAAGGGCTGGGGAGGGCAACCTGAGGCCTCTGTTATGAACAGATTTGTTTAATATCCTTCACTGGGTTTGAACCAAAATCATTCCATTGTTTTAATCGACGTGTTCTCCACTTAGCTGTGTCCCCGTCTTGATTCCTCAAGAATGACATTTTCCCTTCCGACGTCTGATTGGATTTTGCAGAAATCCTGGAGTGACTTTTGGACGCCTTCCATTTTGTAATTATTTTGCCATATTGACATCTGGATTACTTTATCCCACCACTTCCAATACAGTCTGTTTGTAAGGAAGTCCCTTCCGACTCGTGGAGTCTCACGGGTGCGCTCAGATTGATCTCCCATCGGTTTTCTATCTTGAACATTATTACAGTTGTCTTCAAGCTATGAGCAGCTTCCCAATTATTTGAGCTTTGTTTTTGATTAGCAGTGTAACCTTGATGTCATTTTGGTGTTTTTTTATGCAAAGAGTACTTCACTGCAATGAGCAATGTGCCATTGGCGGCATCAGAAAGGACTGCAATTGTGAGCACAGCACCAAGAACTGCTAGATGAAGTTGGAAGAAGGTTCTGCCACTTACCCTTAATCTACCAGAAATGTTTTCTCCCTTCAGGAGTAGGAAATGTGTCATCGCTCATTTCCCCTGGATGCATTAATTCAATACCCAGCTCACCTGATGTGGAAGTAGAGCCCACAACTCCATCTTTGCAATATTAACATCTTGAAAGGCAGCAAGGAAAAGAAATCAGGGTAATATGCAGGACATTTTACCACGGCAGTGTGCGCATTCATCAAATGTAAACTGAGATAGATCTAAAAGAGCAACACAGAAATATCAGTTTTAAATTGGGCATGCCCAGTGGCTTCTAAGGGAACTGTTGGAGTCCATCTCAGAATAAAGCGACTCAAAACCTGATGGTTTGGCTGTTCCCACAGCGACGGTGGTTGAGAGCAACTGCAGTGCTTCATTTCATCCTCTTTCAGCCACAGGTGGACCTCTGATTTGGAGAACTCGTGTGCAACACCTTCAATACCACTGTGTTGAGCACACATCTCCACCAGCATCAGCCTTACCTGCCCCAAATGGCTTTCCTGAAGTCCAGGGGCCTCAGTCAGCATCCGTGCCTGGTGCTCCTTAATGAGCTGTGAGTGGATGCTTTGGAGATTTTGATTTACTCCAGCCAGTAACAAAGCTGCTAAGCACACTGTGTGGTTATATTTGTTTCTAAGCTCTGTAAACAAAGCATCCTGCTGCTCATCGTATGATGCAGTGTCATAGAGCTGAGGTTGGGCACTTGTCCCATGTTTATATGGATTTGCATTTAGATCATTTAAGAGTTTGGGGGATATAAAAGAAGAGTGGAAGGCTTTTTCATCTCTTTTCATTCGTTTACATCAGCAAATCTGCATATAAATGGTAAATCAAATCTGAACCCGTGCTTTCTGGAGTGACATTATTAAAGCCTACTTCCTAATGCTAATTGCTACCATTGGCATCAATTTGCGATTGCCAGTTTGTGAATTAGACCAACTAAATGATCTGCAGCTCCAGCTACTCTACATTGTCACATACAGTTGTATAAAAGACATGAGACCCTTTAGGGCTATTTCTCCAAGCAGCTACTGGTACGTTGGTCATCATTAAGAAAAAAAACCATAATTAGCATGAATCAAGAAGAATGCTGATAAAGGGCTGCTGCTTGAGAGGTGGGGGTGAGTTCCTATAAACATCATTGGACCAAGAACATCTGCTTATCTTGTTAGTAGATGCTTTATGTTTTGTGCCTCCAATTACAAAACGTGGCCGTGATTAGCAGCAAGGTATAGAAAATCAGAGCCACGGAGCTATTGTTTTACTAATAATTAGTGCTCACCAGCAGTCTCTCATTCCCCCGACTCTTTCAGATACATCACACAATTAACAACTTACTATGAGAAAAAGCTTTTCAGTCAGTTTGGGTGCGCACTTATCACAGCCTCGCAGGCAATGCAGATATATATATGCATTTAAAGAACTGAAACAGTGTTTATGTCTTTGTGTTAGCGCAGGAGAGGCAGCAAACATTTGACTATTAATCTGCTTTTCCCTTCTGCCAAACTAAGGCTGAGATGAAGCGTGTGGCTCTGTTTAATTTCACATGTAAAATCTTTCATTTTCATTACTTACAATAACAACAGTACGTTTTATTGTCTCAAGTAAGTGAATGAGGCTTTTGGAGAGAACCCGAACAAAGCGTGACCCCAGAAGGACCCAGAGAGCCAGGCTCTGCCTGCTGGCCTCCATGTCCCCAGCAGCTGTTTGCCATCATATCTGGACATGAGGAAGTATTACTTTTCAGAAAGGGTGGTCAGGCACTGGAATGGATGCCCAGGGAGGTGGTGGAGGCACCGACCCTGGGGATGTTCAAGGAAAGGCTGGATGTTGTGTTGAGGGACGTGGTTTAGTGGGAGCTATTGGGAATAGGTGAACGGTTGGACTGGGTGATCTTTTAGGTCTTTTCCAACCTTGGTGACTCTTTGATTCTATGATTCTATGATTCTATATATTTGGGATCATTTCTTCAGCAGGAAGCCTTCTTTCTACCTCCCACCAGCACTGCTTTTCCTGGACAGAACTTGGTGCCACAGACACTGCTGAAAATGGTGCTGGAATCCTGCATTTCCCTCTGTGCAAATTTCACCTCTTGCTTTCACTTAAGAGAAACCTGAAGGAACCCTCGTCAGATGGACGGTCTGTCTGGATTTGACACTGTCACTGCTCAAAATTGAAATAGTTTTGGTGTAAGATGCAAAACTGCCAACATCGCAGGGTTTCACCAACCAGGGGTCACTGAGAAGAGCCAGCTGGTATCCAGCACAGGAGCCGTGTGCAGAAGGTTGGGGTGGTGGTGGCTGGAAGCAGTGACTGTGGCTGTGACACAGAGGGCAAAGTGGTGCTGGCAGATGGCACCATCACTTACCATGTAGAGACAAATTAACAAAGGCACTGGCCAAAGAAAGAGGAATTTCAGTGGAAGGAAACAGTCCAAATATTTATTTGCCTTTTAAGAATAAGGATTATTCCAGTAAAGCAACCACATTTGCCCCCATGTATGCTGCAATGACAGCAGCAACAAACAGAATGTGTATTTATCTATGCAAGCATTGTTTTTCTCATTGTTCCTCTGTGCATTTTGCTCTTTTCAACAGCCTGGGTGTGATAACCCCAAGTTCCAAAGCAGCTTGGAATCCTCCTCCTGAATTTGGTTTTATGGTTTTCCTACAAACCAACCCCAACAATGTGGGAAGAGAAGGCAGCTCCTTCATGTGGGAAATCCCTCTGCAAATCCACTTACTCAGTGCTCATGTTTTCCAGATGAAGCCCCACATGCAGGCAGGACTGAGGAGGAGATGGGTGCAGAGAATGATGAGCTGCTGCTGCTTTGCCTGGAAAAAACATGAAGGGAGGATTCATAGCAGTCCTAAAACATGCAAAGGGCCGACACACAGCAAAGGCAAGTAAGCTGCTGCTCCTGCTTCCCACCGAAAGAGCAAAATGAAATGGGTTTAAATTGAAGCAAGGAACGTGGAAGTCAGACACTGTGGAAATCTTTCGAGGCAAAAGAACTAGTTAAGTGCTTGAATAGATCAGCTCAGGGGGGCACAGAATCTCTGCTTTAAAAGTGAGGCATTCACCCTGCCTGGATACCCAAACATTCATCCCACTATGGCAAGGGATTTACTACATGACTTGGTATCCATTCCTTTACTGTTTTTGTCAATTTCTCTGATTAAAAAGGAAAGTAATTAATAGTGCCAGGTTGTCTGAAGAACCAGCTACGAGGCATGTCAGATTCAGCAGAATTAATAGATATTTTGGACTTTAATCTATCTGTACCTTAATTTTCTATTTACAAAACGGGGATTAAAGCCCACTCATCTCACACAAATGTCAGGAAGAAAATTAATTAACTTTCTGAAGCACGCCAGCTTGAGGAGGAACAGCACAGCTGAAAGTCCCACAAAGAAGTGAATAATTCTGTCTGCAAAGAGAGTGCCAAGGGGAGAGCTGGGATGGGTGGCGAGCAGCACCAGCAGTGCACCCATTGCTGTGGAATTGAAGAATAAAGCCTACAACTGCACAGCAGATGCTAAGCCAAGAATGTTGTTCCCAAAGTTCAAGGACTTGATCTTCCAGCCTTAGCAGTACTTCCTTGCAATAGCACAAGGCATGCACCATGCTAGATGTGTGCACAGTGGGGTCACTTTGCTCTTCATAGTTAATGTTTTCATTTGTAGGTAGCCAGATCTAGAACTCAAGTGCAGATCTAGCATTTATTTTTTATATATATTGTAGAAACTAGGAGAATCATCTCAGTTTTTATACAGAGACCGCTCTATATTCAGGTTTTTTCATGGGTATCAAACTTCTACTGATTCCTCAGAAAAATTGTCCTTCCTTATGCAAAGCGAAAACAAACAGAAAAGAAAACACACGAAGAAAACTGGAAGTGCGTTTTGCCCTGGTTGTGCTGTTTAGTTCTGATTTCTCTTCCACACATGTTTAACTTGCCCATGAGCACAGGGCACAGGTAGCACTGCGAGAGAACATCTCCCTCCGTACGACCCCGAGGTGCAACGCCTAGCAGTCATCATAGGCTCTATTTACTCTAAATCAAATCATTCATTTCTTACCACAAATGGAATTGTAATGGAGTTATTTATTTTTGGCCAACATTAAAAATAGATACTGCAAACTGCCAGCTCAGCTCCCAGCAGAGCTGAGATCCATTGCACGGACTGACAGTAAAGCTCCATCCATCTGCGAGCAGCGAAGGAATTGCACGTATAGGGAATGTGCTGCAGGGTTTGTCTGTCACAGGGAGACGGGGGGGAACCACAGAACCATTAATGCTGGAAAAGCCCTCTGAGACCCCAACCCAGCCCACAGCCCACGTCCCTCAGTGCCACATCCCTGCAGCTCTGAATGCCTCCATGGACGGGGACTGCCCACCCTGGGCAGCTGTGCCAGTGCCGCTCTCTGGAGCAGACATTGCTGTGATACCAACCTGACCCTCCCTGGTGCAATGTGAGGCCATCACCTCTCATCCTATTGCTGCTACCTGGGGCAGAGGCCGGCAGCACCACATCATACAGGTCAGAGCTGTTGGTAGCTGAGGGTGGATGGGTACAGCTGTCATCTGGAAGGGCCACCAGCTGTTCAGACACTGTCCTTTCTGTTCAGAGCAGTGTTTTTCAGTGAATCCTTAACTGTTGTCTTTTCATTTGGCTTGACTTTAAAAATCCTAAAAATTCCAATTACATTTCACGTTTATTATCCACACGGCAACACCAAGCAGAGGTGAAATGCAGTCATTTTGCAGAGCAGCATGCTGGCTTACTTGCCATGCCAGGATATTGTATGTCCAAATCAGTGCTAGCAATAGCAAGGCTTTCACTCAAAGTGGCATTTTTCATCCACAAGCTGGTGTTGTTAAACAGTAGTTTGGCTTCAAAACACAGCAAGGTAGCTCAGAGCAACCAGGGATGCTGGGGCTTTCAGATTTACTTGCTTTCTTCTAAAATGTCACAGGTTAAGATCACAGGACAAATAGGAGCTCTTTTGAGACACTTGTGTTGTAGGAAAACTCCTGCTGGGAGCGTTATGCAAACACATCTCTGGATCATGAGCAGGTTGGGATGAAAACGCCCTCTGTGGTCTCTGCTCAGAGCCAGCATGCCCGTGTCCAAGCAGCTGCTGTGGGCAGCAGAGGTAGCAGCCCTTGCTCTGCTCAGGAGTGATAAGTTGTAGTGCTGATCACTTTTCTTCGTGGAAAAAAAACATGTTGAATAATAAAAATGAATTACTGAAAACTTTTAGAAGGAGAGAGCATCTAAGAGTCATAGAACGGCCTGGGTTGCAAAGGAGCACAGTGATCATCTGGTTCCAACCCCCTGCTGTGTGCAGGTCACCAACCAGCAGCCCAGGCTGCCCAGAGCCACATCCAGCCTGGTCTTGAATGCCTGCAGGGATGGGGCATCCACAGCCTCCTTGGGCAACCTGTGCCAGTGCTTAGTAATCTCTGCACAACCAAAGAGATAACTGTCTGGGCACTGAATCCTGGTTTCCTGAAGCAGAATTGCCTTATAAAGCAGAGGGCAGAGCAGAGATGAGGAGCCCAAGCTGAGCCCTATGCTCACCCCCAGCACAAAGACCTCTGCTCCTTTTTGCCAACGAACTGCAGCTCCCTGTTTTGCAGCTGTCTCTTCACCCACAGGCAGTGCCTCATGGCTCAAGAGACCAGGTCAGAATACACAGTTGTTTTCAGGTATTTGTAATATATTTGGGTGTCATTTTCAGCAGTGCTCAGGAGCAGTGCATGTGTTTCTTCTGCCCTGCAGTACCCTTGGGTGTCAGGCTCCTGTTGCTGGGCTGCGTGGAGCTTTCTCTGCTCCTCAGTACAGGATTAAAGAAAACAAGAATGGAACTCTTCAGGTGTACTCCAGGGGAAACCATATCAGTACAACGTAATCTTATTAGAAATTTTTCCCAAAACAGTGATCTTACAAGCAGATTTTCCAATATTACTTATGCTGGGAGAGTTTTGGAGGCTGAGGTTAGCACAGGTACAGTGCACCAGAAAGATAAATGGATACAAAATGATTCTGAGGTCATTCTGGATCTGTTGGTGCTTCTTGGGTCTGTGTGTACAGAAATTCTCCAGGGACAGCTGCAGGGCAGTTCCAGTGGTGAGATATTCTCCTCCCCACTTCACCAGGTACCACATTGTGAGGCCAAACACTGCTTGAGATGAATTGCACGGGCACTTTAGAATGTGTGAGACAACTTCAAAGTGAGATTTCCCAAATGGCAATGCACTGCCCACGTTGCAGGCAAATTGCTTCCACTGCAGTGCAACCCATGGAGGTTATAATGTAACGGAGGACTTCCCAACAGGTGCTACCTTCCCAACAGGTGCTGGCTTTTGCATGAGCACCATAGAGCAAAGCACAGAAACGTGCTGGTTTAAGTTGGCAGGCACCAGAGAAACTACAAGAGCTTGGAAACTATTAAAGAAGGGCATCTGACTTCAAAGTACTCAGCTTCTAGAGAACACAGCTCTGAGACCAAACCTGCTGCAAGCCAACACACCCAGCGCCCCATGGAATGGACAGATGGACTGAACCTCTGGGAAGGCACCAGGGCAGGAGAACTGGGGGCAATGGGGCAAGTTCAGGCTGAGGCAGTCACCGAAGGGCAGACTTTGGGCTCTTCTAAAGTGAGTTTGGAATTGAACATTGACAATTCACTGCATGTCACCACCTCAGTGCTCTGTATTATACTTCCATATTATAGGGGGTGAATTCATAAATCCATAAGAAAACCTTTGGGAAAACTAAGGAGGATATTAAATGTCAGCTTTGCTGGGCTTTGGCATATTTCCTCATAAAGCATCCATCTTAAACCGAGTTCTTACTGCACTGGAGAAGATAGTCAAGCATCTTCCAAGGGCACTTTGTCATTGATTTATACCTTTTAAAACCTAATGCCAAAAGGCCAGCACTTGAGATCACACCTTGGCTTCTGCGGAGCTTCCAGAGCAGCATAAATCAGGCAGCGAGATCCAGAAGAACGGATAAGAAATTGCATATATTGAATAACACAGTTACAGAAAGTCAGGAAGACAGACTGCTCATCCAGAGGAGGAAGGCATCAGAACCACAGAGCTGGGCATCCCTGCACCCCCACGGGGTCCCCATGTAGGCGGGGAGGGGTGAGCAGCCTGCGCCTGGTGCACGCAGTGCACCCACAGACAGGGGAGCTGAGACCCCCACCCGCCCTACTGCCAGCCTGCAGCATTGCATCCTTCATCCCCTCAGCTCCTCCTGCTCTGTGTGATTATACGGTGCTCCGGTCCGTCCCTGCACAGCCAAGGTGTTACAGTGATGGAGATGGATAAAGGTGACCGAGAACCAAAGCAGTGCCATCGCAGCAGAAGCTTCGGGTAGCAAGTAGAAGAAATTGGTGATTCTTTGCAGCGCTGCAGCAAAATTGTGGATGCTCAGATGATCTTTCACAAACAGACACTAAACTGCCCACAGAGACTGAGCAGTTTTAAGTGCAATAGGTGCCGCGAGAAGCCAGCATTATGTTTTATTAAAGCCTGTTGAAAAGTTTATGGGCTTGTCTCCGAATGAGGCTCTCCCTCCCCTTCTGCACCTCATTACCCACCTGCACACAGCGCTGGTCACAGGTGCTGTAAGGGCAGACTGAAGGGAGGTCCTATGGGTCATCTGATCCGCTGTATCACACCTACAGCAAAACCCTGCAAATGGCTCAAAGCATTTGCAAAGCGGAATGATTAGAGTCCCAAAAGCGGCTCTAATTAAATACGACCTCCTTAAGAGCTCCAAGTGGTGGGGCTTTGTTTGCTGTTCATTAAAGAAGCTAATCATTGTTTACATGAAGAAGACACAGCCAAAAATAAAGTGTCCCTGTACCACAACAAAGGATTTTTAACCAGAAACATCTGCTGGAAGAATTTTTTACATGTTATAGGTCCCAGGGTTGTACCACCCTATGCAGCCCAACACTGCTCTAATAACAGATGCAAATATTGTTGGCGTCCCCCCCAGACCCATTATGGCTGGCTGGAAACTCCACCTTTCTGCTGTGCATCCTCAGCTTCTCAATATTGTACGGTATTCCCTGAAACCCCCTGGATGACACCAGTATTTACATACAAATCATTATTTCTCTTCTTGATTTGCATGCACCTCTCAGACAGGCTGCTGGACTCACGTCCTCTCGTGGCAAACAAAGGCATCGTGGCATTAAAATGCAATAACAGACGTTCAGGACCCTTTCGACTGATGTTGTGATTCAGGAACTCTCCAGCAGCCAACACAGCGAGCGGCACGGATAGCTGGGCCGAATGCTAAACAGGCAGCCAGCCCAGCTGCCCTCAGCGCCAGCCCACCGTGAGCCCGAGCACGGTGTGTGTTCTCTTATTCTCCATGCATTTCACCATCAGGAAAATGCAGACAGAAATGAGAATGGAAGGAGCCAGCACAAGGAGAAAGAAGCAGCCCTGAAGAAGAAAGTTATGATGGGAACACACAATTTCACGTTACTGGAATTGCCAGGGGCACAAAGAGCAAAGTCCTGCTCCAGTTGCCTGTCAGGAGCTGTACCACTGCCCAACCATTGCATGGGGAGGTTGGCGGCCCTGCATGTGGCAGGGGGTTGGAGATTCATGATCCTTGAGGTCCCTTCCAACCCTGGCCATTCTGTGATTCTGTGACACATGCTGCCGTCCTCTAGCTGTGCTTCTCTGGTGTTGACCAAACCCAACGATGGGCGTCAGGCTTCAGCTGTTGCTGTGGCTATTTGGCTTTCAGATACTGGCTCATTGTACACTTGTACCTTAAACACAGGATTTTATGGCAGGTGTGCTGCCTGTAGCAGTGCTGGTTGGGTTTTTCTAATCAAAACGTGCACTCATTAAGTAGGATCTGATTTACCACAAGGGCCATCACTCTGCTCTCCTCTCCCAGAAGAGAAGTCTGGGATCCTGCTCTCCCCATCAAGAAACAGGGGGAATTTAAATGGGGTTGCTGAGCGGATGCCAGCTCCATGAAGCCCTGGGGATGGGCTATTTGTAGGGATTAACACACTCACTTTGATGTAGCAGCGCTTTGCCACCAGGGCAGGCTTCCATCACAGGCTGGAGTGCTGTCACAAAAGTTAAAATCCCATTTTTAATCCAATCCCATCCCGTCAGCTTCAACTTGTGACTACAAATGAGACTCAGAAATTTATTTTTTTCCTCCCCTCAACAGCGATTTAGTTGGAAAACACTCTTTAGTAAAACGCTTCAGGTTGGGTAATACTTTCTCCCCACCACACAGCAACGTTAAGCACCCAGGAGCACCCTGCTGTAGTGCTGGTGGTGCCAGGAGCTGCACCAGGCCCCAGTCCCACCATGGGCAGAGAGGAGTCAGGATGGAGCAGCAGCCATGCTCACACCCAGGGAATATGGGTGGCTGCAGGGGGGAGGATACACATTTAAAGGTCAAACAGGAGACTTAAAATTCCACCCATGAGGTTAGATAACACCCCTCATGTTTGCATCTGTAAGATAAACAATGAGTTTCATCTCATTCAGAATGAATACTCCTGGCCTAAACGACATTTATAGGAAGCAGCTCTGCTACAGCATCACCGTCCCCCACAGCCTGCTCCTGAATTAGGACCCAACTCGCAGTCCATACTCTTCACACAGACTGGAGCAGCAGCTGGGAA